AAATCATTTTCACTGTAAAAGTCTCCATGTATTTTTTTTTCTTTTTAGAATTTGTTTCAAACTAATTTGAAGTTTACTGTAGAGTTAACATTTGTACCAGCATTTTCCTTATTTATATTTCCTGATCCAGTAATTGAATTTGATCATGTCTTTTTACACCATCATTTTTTATCTTAATAAAATTTTGTTTTTAGCATCATTGGTAATATTTCAGTTAGAATGTTGCAATTGCCACACTCAAAGTTTGTTACAGAAACTTGATTTGAAAAGCATTACAAATTTTTTGACAGATAAAATGCTCCTGCACTTCACAATTAATTTTGTACTTGGTTAATATAAAATGAAGGTGATCAACATTAATATTACCATTTTAATGATGGTGAAATTTACCATTCTGTGCCAGAAAATCAAATGAAATGTCAGTGAGGGAGAGGCAGAAGTGTGACAGAGAATCATGAAAATTGTAAGTGTAATATGATTTGAATTTTTAAAAGATCACACTGGCTGCAGGGTGCAGGGTTCATTGAAAGGGTGGGGCTAGGGGAGGAGTGAGCAAACTATGGCCCACAGACCAAATCTACCTATTTTTGTGAGGCCTTGGAGTCATACTGGTTTACATTACATTTTATATTTCTAATGGCTAAAAGAAAACAAAAAGAATAACATGTCATAACACATGAAAAGTCTATAAAATTCAAATTTCAGTGTCCATAACAAAGTTTTCTTGGAATACATCATTTGTTTACATATGTATGGTCTACGGCTACCCTTGTGCTGAAAGGGCTGAGTTGAGTAGTTCTAAAATGGCATGGCCCATAAAGCCTAAAACATTTACTGTCTAGCCCTTTTTCAAAACAAGTTTGTTGACCCATGTGTTAGAGTTGAATAGGAAAAAGAATCCAGTGTGGTCTGAATTCAACATCAGTTTGTACAGAGGTGACTGGGTGTTTTAAAGAGAGATTGAAGGAATAAGGAAGGGGGTCAGTGGGGCTCAGTAGAGTCAGGAAAGGGAAAAATTACAAAACTCAAGAAGTGGGGAGTTGGTGGAGGTGAAATCCCCTGGGTTTGCTGACACTTAGGGAAGTTAGGCTGCTACCCTCCACAGAGGCTGGGAGATAGGGGCCCTGTCTTCAGGTGTTGGCTGGATCAAACAGTAAGTTCTTTTGTCAGCTTTGTTTTTTAAGGCAGGCACTTTAAGAGGGGCTAGGGTCTCCTAGGGATGTGGCCTTGAGCTGCAGGAAACTATGTTCGTGTTTTGTTCGTCTTTATAGGCTAAGGTTGAGACTTCGTGAAAAAGGGAGCTCAGAAGAGCCTGACTAGTAGTTGGTCAAGGAGAGAATCTTTGTCAGCAGCTATATTAGTTAAGAGACTGTTGTGCAGTCTAGGAGAGAATGGTAGCTTGGACTGGGGGGTAGCAATATACATGGAGACAAGTAAATGAGTATGGGAAGTATTTTGGAAAGAGGGAGGAGAAGACTTGGTATGGAATTAGTATATTCCCTGTGGAATTGATTGAAAAAGGTTTGTTTTTCCTTCACTGACAACCATCTAGCCAAAAAGGTAAACAGATTATGTTGCACTTACTTTCTGTGTGTTACAGTTTAAAAGACAAAAGGTGTATGTAACTCTTGAAAGCAACTTCGGTATAAAATGAAAGGTATTTATATAATTTGGCATACGCAGGCATTTTGAAGTATAATCCTTGCTCTAAACTAGCTTCTTGTTATCTATTTTAAGTTTCCTAACCTCTTTTTAATTATATATTCATCCTAAAAATTAAGACAGTTCTGGTCTTTCTGGATGCAGTACATTGTTTTAAATGAATTGCAAATATAAATTTCTGTGGAATGCTTAGCAACCACTCTAGGTTTCCTATAGACTTTGTGACTGTAGCGTGTGATTTTTCATTTGCATGAGTGTGTTAGCTGTGGCAGGGTGGAACTTTCTATTTTTGGGTATGAAAAGTATTTATTTGGTTTTGATTTTTAAAGTTTTTTTCTTTTTTTTGTATAGTTTCCTGACTGCAATAGAAATAGTATTTGAAACTTTAAAACTGGAATATATGATATTTGTGATACAGTTCTTAAACAGTGATCTAAACCTTTAATGTGTAGCAATTATTTTTGTCTATTTACTATACCTGAAGTGTATAAAATTTTGTAAGAATTTATTTATATAGCTTTTTATACTTTTCTGTCTTATGGTTGACTAAAAAATTTGGAAAACTTCTGCTTCAAATCACCTAGATATGATAGCTAGAATATAATAAACATCCATTTAAATAAACAGTTATGCTTTCAAGAAAATAGGGAAATGCCCAGGATACAGAAATTAAGACTGAAAAACAGAGGAGTGTGCTAGCTGACACTATGGCTGCTCCATGGGTGGGGATGTGTCCAGGACACTGCAGGGATTTGAGTCTCAATGCCCATATGGGAACAGGTTATGAGGCCTTGAGTATGCACAAAGCAGGGAGTTGGAATCAACATCTAAGCATAATACCAAGATCCTTAAAGGATTCTTCCTTTAGCAATGGGGTAGATTAGAAGAGCTCAACCACCAGCACATGGAGACTTATAAGAAGCTTATTTGTCTTGATCTGGGTTCTGATGGGGTAAAAATAAGATTCCCCTAAGACTATATTATGGTCCTGCCCCTTGTTGGCTTGGAGTTCAAATTAATACCAGCTTCAAATAATTAAACAGTCATATAGAAACCATAAGATGACTAAAAGCTTAATATAAGGAAATTAAAGCATCAGAAGATAAACCAAAGAAATTTAGATAGGAATCCTATAAAACTTATAAAAATAAAAAAATCATTAAATTTTTAAGAAATTAGTGAATGAATGAGTTAAAGGAAGAATAAATAACTAGAAGGGATATGTGAAGAAATTACCCAAAATGCAGGAAAGAGAGAGGAAAAATAAATCTTGAGAGACATAGAAGTTGGAATGAGAAGATCTTACCTAATGTCCAATAGAAGTTGATAGAAAAAGTAACATGGGGATGGAGCAATATTTGAAGAGATAATGGCTGAAAATATTGCAGAATTAATGAGGGGTAGAAATACTTAGATTTAGAAAGCCTAATGAGTTCTAAACAGGATAAATAAAAAATTAATTCTCACCGAGACACTTCATGATAACAGAGAAAAGGTAGCAGAATTTTTATGGGTAACATTCTCTTACTACTAAGATATTGAAATAGATTCACCTGAAATAAGGTTTCAAATGTTGTTTTCTAGTAATAGTGATACACTTTCGTTGGTCTGTTTTTGGTCACTATTGATGACTAAGAGCTTCACTCTGTGAAGGGTCTGAGAAATTTTTTCCATGGAGCATTAGTGTCTAAGTATTAATTAGTAGTATTGTGAGGAAAGTATTTCTTTTCTGTGACTAGTTTTCATCTTGAGCAAACTAAGGAAATATGGTGTCAAGAAAATTGCCACTCAACTTCTTTAAAAGAAGTTATATATATGTGTGTGTGGTGGGGGCATGGTTGGACTCTAAGGCCATAGACTAAAAATAATAGCAAGTTTATTTGACATTTTAACAAAATTTGTTACCTGTCTTCCTTATTCACTCATTTAGTATACAGTTCCAGTATTTTGTCTCTATCATGAAATCATTTATTTCTTTTTCCTTCTGATTTCCACGTTGATTATTCTTTCCCTATTTCTTTTCTTTCTGGGTTTTTTTTTTGTTTTTCTTTTGGTTGTTGTTTTTGAGTTGGAGTCTCACTCTGTTGCCCAGGCTGGAGTGCAGTGGCATGATCCTGTCTACTGTAGCCTCGACCTGTTGAGCTCAGGTGATCCTTTGACCTCAGCCTTCCAAGTAGCTGGAACTACAGGCACATGCCACCACACCCACTAATTTTTTTATTTATTGTAGAGACAAGGTCTCCCCAGGTTGCCTAGGCTGATCTCCAACTCCTAGGCTCAGGCAATCTTCTCACCTCTGCTTCCCACACCTGGGTGAACCACCACACCTGACCTTGCCCTGTTTCTTATTCATAGACTTCTAAGGAGCAACTATGTTTGCAAGTCATTTAAAATGGTTTATTCCTTTTATGTTTAAAAAGTAAAATGAAACAAAACAATCCCCCTTGCTTTTTTTCTCTATTTGATTAGCATTTCTCTTTTGATTTATTCCCCATATTCCTGTACCAACTGGTCAGCAGATGTAGATAGGGGACCCTTGGTGAAAATGATTGCTGCTGTAATTATTCTCATTTTCCCACATGAGACAATTATTTGTTGTGGTCTAAAGTCACCCAGAAGGCAATGTGCCTACTCTTAACAGGTCAGGCACGATCCCTAGTGTTGCTTTAAGAGTGTGAGCTGAATGTTCCCCAGTTCTTTAATCTAAACAACTTTGTTAGTGAGATGGGGGATGTGTGTGTGCTGGGAGGGTGGGAAGAGAGGAGAGGATTTTTGGACACCTTTTCCTTTACTGTACCTACCCACGAACATATACACGTGCACACTGCTTTTCCAAAGTATGTTTTCCCCTGTAAAACCTCTTTGTAATTACTATTATGAGATCTCATTTTAACCATTATGATGTATAAATACATATGTGTATATATTTGAGATATAAAATGTAATTCCTTTAAGCTTCTTCTATCTTATTTTTCTAGCTTCCAGTCTATGCTTTTGGGCATCCTTTATAAAGTTGGGCATCCTTTATAAAATCTTCTAAAAGTTTCTCTTCTTACTTATGATCATCCAGTTATAAATTGTAAGCTAATAACTTTTATTTCATACTACACATTTTACAGTTTTCTACTTTTTATGTTTGCAGCAGATGTGCATATTATTTTATCAAGATAAAAGTTTTCAGCAAGGGAATGTTCACATTTTTTATGTTCATTTCCAGATATAAAAATGAGTTTAGGTTTTTATTATTAATTCAACAAGCAAAGTTTTTCTTTACAGTCATACTTATTTACTATGACATGGATATTAAACATGGATTATGTTTGTATATTGTTATTTAGGTGACTATTATATGGTTAAAAAGATTTTGGAGGAAAACAGTTCAGGTGACTTGAACATAAATTGCGTAGATGTGCTTGGGAGAAATGCTGTTACCATAACTATTGAAAACGAAAACTTGGATATACTACAGCTTCTTTTGGACTACGGTTGTCAGGTACAAGGCTAGATAATTTTATTCAGTAACTTCTAAGTACTGTTAGATATGCCATGTTTTCTTCTTGTTGTTTTCTTTTTTCTTTTATCTTCCTTTCTTTTTCCTTTTCTCTTACCTTTTAATCTCTTTCTTTCATCTTTTATTTGGTTTTGAGCCACTGAAAGTTTTTAAAACAAACCAAAAAAAGCCTTTTGGAAAAGTATAATATGTTGAATTGATTATATCTTTTTCCTCTCAACTGTTACTTTTCCCTAAATCTGATAGAGGTAAATTTTCCTGACTTAGATAACTTTTTTAAAGCATATATTATTACTATTTATGTTTTATAACTAAAAATAGTACAGGTGTTTTGAAAGTGTCAGGTACAGGTTTTCCTGTGGCCTAATATTATTTACAGGCATATGAACAAAATGCTCCCAACTCAAACATTTTTCAGCTCGACTTTGATTTTCTTCTAAGTTTTACTAAATTTCCTTTTTGTTTGAAACTCAATGTTTGCTTATATTTAAAGATAAATAATTTTGTTAATTAAAAAAGATAGAACCTTTCTGTTTGTCTTCATAACAGTTCGGGTATAAAAACAGGCTGAAAAAATCTGAAGGAAATTTGATAATAATATTATCTTTCTTACTTTTTTGGTTTGCTTATAATGGGATTTAGCACATGAGTTCTGGCTCTTTTTTTCCTTCTTAATGAGGCATATTTTTTTAAAGTGGCATCAGGAGGCACTCACAGCAGATTTTCTGAATATAAGCAGGGTAATTCTACATACATTGCTATTATATACATGCTTTACATCATATGATACTCTTTCCATGTGTATATGTTTGGAGTAAAAAAAGAAATTGCTTACCCAGAAACCTCAGCTATCCAGAACACAATTGAGAACCAGAAAGTAAGTAAAAAATACCAGAGTAGCTGCCATGAAGTTTACAAATAAAGTTTATGACTTTTAGTTTTCAGAATACTTCTGGAGCCCTCTTTCAAACTTTTTCTTTTCTTCTCATTTTAGATTTCATTTTAACAAACTTGATTTCTTTCTAATACACAGAGGATTTGTGGGACAGTGGGAAGGGACATGAGAGCTGCAGTGGAACAAAATGAGACATGGTAGTTGTGATACTATTTAGCAAAAAGTTCAACAGCATTACATAGCTGATAGTCTCTGAGGGAGCTACATGTTAGGCTGGTGATTAAGGTTTATAACAATGACCCTGAGTCAGAGTCAGTAAGGAAAAGTTAAGTTATATTCAGTACCTATTATTTTAGAAGAAATATATATAAGAAATATATAAAAGCATAAGCTTCAGTTACCTAGAAAATAAGGTTATAAAGAAATTTACTTCCTGATGATCCTGGATAAAGGTGGTATTATAGTATAACAATTTGTGTCTTTTTATCCATATGGTTATATGTATATAATAGTTCTGCAATATATATGGTTCTTTCACATACTTGACCGCTTTCAGACATCATAGTCAGCCTATATAGATGATACATTTTATAGATCAGTAAACTGAGGCTCATAGACTTTAATGAATTGCCTAAAGCTCTAAAATTAGTAAGGGCAAAACTAAGATTTGAACTTAATCTTCTGAATGCAAATCCCATGCTCTTTCCAGTTCACTATGTTCTGTCCAGGTTACCTATGTCTTGTTTTATCAGTCAACAAATGCCCAAGGCCTTTGGTTGGGTGTGATCATGGAAATGAATAAGTAAAATACAGGTTCTACACTAAAGGATTTTAAAACACATTAGACAAAGTACATATGAATTACAAGTCAATTAAATAATACAAAAGTGTATTTGATAAATGTTGAATGCTAGTAATACTTGACCCTTGTATGTTGGCTTTACAGTTACAAGGAGTTTTTATGTATTTGTGTTATATTAGTGTTTCTCAAACAAATGATTTTGTCTTTATCAGGGGACACATGGCAATGTTTGGAGATTGGAGGGCAGGTTACGACTGTTATCTAGTGCGTAGAGGCTAGCGATGTTGCTGAATATCCTACAATACCCAAGACAGCCCCACAACAAAAAATTGGCCCAAATTTCAATAGTGCTACTATATTGAGAAAAGCTGTTTTTTACTTAGACATTTGTTGTTCAATATAAGTGTTTTAGAAATACAGAAAAGGGCAAGATCACTGTGGATTGGAGCTATCAAGGTAGGTTTCATTGGAAAAGTGTCAGCTGAGCTTAGCCTTGAAATATTAATAATTGCTAAAATTTATATAGTACTATTCTGTGCCAGGAACCTTAAATATATTCATTTACTTAAACCTTACAACAGCCCTCTGAGGAAGATATTATTACTTCCCCCCATTTTATAGAGGACAAAACTGAGGTACAAAAAGATTAAATAACATGCCTAAAGTCACTCCATAAATGGCAGACCTGACATTTGAAACCAGATTCTGGCTCCAGAGTCCATGCTCTTACCTATTACCCTAATCTACTCTTAAAAAAAAAATGTATAGATAGGTAGGAAACAGGGGATGTGGAGAAGGATGCAAACAAAGGCATATGCAGTGTATGTTGAGACAGTGAATTGATTTGGCTTTTTTGATGAAAATATTTGATTTGAAGAGGATGGGAATTATCAAGGAAAAAAAATAACTAAAGCAAAACTGATAAAAAGGACCTTGAATGCCAGAATAAGGAATTTGGGTTTTAGATAATAGATAGTGGGGTATCGTTCAATGATTTTTGATACAGAATGTGATATATGTCCCCATTGTACTTCAGAAAGATAAATCTAGTGGCTGAGTTTCCAATGGGAAATGGAAACTGGGGAAGACTGTAGCCCACATGAGCGGTTTTTATAGTAATCTCAGTATGAAGAGGTTAAGGCCTGAATTGGAGCAGTGTTGTAAAAAAGTTATGAGAAGAGAGAGAGAGAGAGAGAAAAGTGAGAGATGTTACAAGGAAAGGATTGACAATCTTAATGGATATTTAAATTTGGACAAGGGAATTGAGAAGGATCCCAGGATGATCCACTCATGATTTAAACATGAGTGACTGGAAGAAGGGTGAAAAAAACCTCCAGCAAGTTCAGAAGTGGAGTCAAGCTTGGGACAAAGGGATGTGAATTTTGGTTCTATTTTTGTTGACTTTGAGGACATTAGACTAGTCACCAACAGATAGTCGCCAATGAAGATTATTTCTCTAGGGAGATGTGAGGCTAAAAAGATACCATAGGCAGCCATGGGCATGGGATGACCATCAATATTGTGAGAGTAAGTGAAGTCATGGAGAAGAGCAAAGGGCTTAGGGAACATCTACATTTAATAAAGGGCATCATATGGAAAGAGTTTCATTAAAGGAGACCAAATGAATGGTTGAAGATGTCAGAGTTAGGATAGTGCAGCATTGTGAAAACCAAATAAATTAGTTTTATATGTTGCTTAGAAATCAATTTAAAATGAGGCATTAAAGGTCATTGGATTTTGACAGTATGGGATCAGTAGAATTGGAGACAATACTATCCATTGACTTGTGAAACTTGACTCAGTGAAAGGAAGAAAATATGAGTGGTAAGAGAAAGTTTGGACTAAGTCATTAACAAAGAGTAAGAAGGGATTTAAAGTTTTGGGAGATGGGAGCTGGGAATGGTATAAAGAAGATTAGAGAGCATCAAACAGAATACTAAGGTGGAAAATTTAGCTTTGGAAAGGAAATAAGTAGCTTCTTACTCTGAGCTTATAGGAAAGAGTATGGCAATTGTTGAAGAGACAAATTCAAAGGTGAGAAGGGAGATTGAGACTTCATAAATATATGTGTATTGAGATTTTAATAAGGAATTGTCAAATATCTGAGAAATTGGGAAACAACCAGTGAGGACATTTTGTATACCTGTCTATATTTTTAAAATAATTTAAAACATTTTTTCTCATAATTGCCATTGATTTATCAAATAACAGACCATTTGTGCAGAATAAGTCAATGGTAAATTCTTACATGACATTTTTATATAAGTGAATATTTTTATAGCTGAAGCTTATCCTTTTAAGCATTGAAAGCTTTAATACAAATCTCTTATTCTTTACTAAGTAATGTATCTGAATATAATTTAACCTTACTATAATAAGTTTGAATCATTGAGAATGTAATCATTTTACTTCGCTTCATATGGTCTGAAACTGTTAACATGTGTGTCCTTACATTAAGTGACTTCAGACTGCTGTGCATTCATAGGGATGTTTTTATATTGCTATTTCATATTTTCAATGGTCAACTTTTGCAATTTTTTTTCCTCCTTTCCACTTACTTTGTTGGTTTTAATCTAGCTGTTTTTCTATTCAGTAAAGACCTAAAGGATATTTGGGAAAGCCAGATATTTGTCATTTATACACATTTCTAAGTTAGAATGCTTGGGTTTGTTTCTTTCAGGAAATAATGCCCATGAAGTTAGTTTGTGACAGCTCAATATGTGGCTTTTTTTTTTTTTTTTTTTTAAGTTGCAGCTGGATTCATGGCTACATTTCAGATGGTTGAAGTTGCCTGTGATTTTGAAAGCAATGGCATTTACCATAGTTAGCTTTATGGGTTAAAATTAAAAATCACATGAAATATTTAGTAGCAATGGACATAGGGTTCTTTTTTGTTCATTTGTTTCAACTGATCAAATACACTAAAAACTGAAGAGATATGTTTTCAAAGCAGAATCATAATAATGCTAGGACTTAAAAGCATAGGCTACAGGCAAATGAATCCTGAACGACATAAGGGATAAAACAGTTTAAATTTCCCGTCTAAGTGGGAAGTTTTTCCTATGGGAAACATAAGGTGATTCCTAATGGTAGAATGAGGACTCTGACCCTTTCTTTGGAATGCGTAATCCTGTTTTTTAGACATCCAGGTAGTCTGCCATTTTTAGTCCTATTTTTGACATCCAGATAAAGTGGATAAAGCTTGATTCTTTTCAGCCACAAATAATATTAAAGATCTAACATAGTTTCATTTCAAAAAGCAAGAACACTAATTGATTTGAATAG